ACTTCACCTGACAAAGGAGCAGCGCTACGAAAGCTTGTGATTTCAAATAAACCTGTTGGACTATAACCTGGTGTCGTGTGACTTCTGACCTTCTCGCCCCAATCTAACACTGGCACCTTCACATCATGTTCTGGTACCTGACATTCTGAGTACTTTATGCTGTTTCTCTCTTGTCTCCTTTCTTGTGTTACATCATCCAAATTATTAATCCTGATTCACCAGAGTTTTCATTGCTTTCCTTAGTGTCCAATTAACTCTTCCAACTCCTTCACGCTCTCCTTGAGAATCTGCTTTTGTATTTGTAAAGACAGTAGCTAAATTTTCTCTATCTGTTATGGTTGTTACTACGTGTCCACCCAGTCATCCTTTGTAGATTTTCAGAGTGCATCATTTCTCACATCTATGGATCAGAAACATTTACTTCGCAACACATCCAAGGATATTCTATCCTCCTTTGAGGGTTTCCTGTCTTTGACCTGGAACAGTATACACATGGGAAACAGATTTTGGCTCAACCTTAAACAATTTCAATTATTAAAGAAATAAAATCATAATGCAAACCCATTTATGATTTAATGGAAACTTACAATCAGTTATGTGGCTGAGTTTTCGAGAAGGTTTGTAGCTCGGGTTGTGGATGAGGTTGTAGACGTGCCCGCCGAGCCTGTGGGTTTGGTTGCAAACGTTTCATCACCCTGCTAGGTAACATCGTCAGTGCACCTCTGGTGAAGTGTTCGTGTTCTGTCTCGCTTGTTCTTTATATGCCTCGGTTAGCTGGGGTGGTTGGTATTACTTCTGGTTCTGTTTCTCAGTGGTTTGTGCACAGAGTCTAAGTTAATGTGTTTATTGATAGAGTTCCGGTTGGAATACTAGGCCTCCAGGAATTCCTTGGCATGTCTCTGTTTGGCTTGTGCAATTATGGATGTGTTATCCCAGTGGCATTTGTGTCACTTGTTATCCATATGTAGTGAGACTTGGAAATTGGTCGTGTCTGTTGGTGCCTAGTTGGTGTTTGTGTATCCATATTGTCAGTTTTCTTCTGGTTTGGCCTATGTGGTGTTTCTCACAGTCCTTGCATGGTATTTTGTATATTACACCAGTTTTGCTGGTTTTGGGTATGGGATCCTTTACGTTTGTCAGTATCTGTCGTAGGGTGGTTGTTGGTTTGTGGGCTACTCTGATACCTAGGGGTCTGAGTAGTCTTGTGGTCATCTCCAAAATATCCTTGATGTATGGTAGGGTGATAAGTGATTCTGTTTGTGTTGTGACTTCCTGTTGTGGTCTGTCTTGGAAGTAATGGTGGGCTGTTGTTTTCGGGTATTCATTCCGTTTGAAGACTCCGTATGGGTGCTGCTGTTCTACTTTGTGTAGTTCCAGGTTGCTGCAATGTGTTGTGGCTCATTTAAATAGTGTCCTGATGCAGCTCCATTTGTGGGCGTTGGGGTGGTTGCTAGTGTAATTGAGTATCTGGTCTGTATGTATGGTCTTTCTATATACACTAGTCTGGAGTTCCCCATTGTTTTTGCGTTCTCCTATTATGTCTAGGAAGGGTAGTTGGTTGTTGTTCTCTTCTTTCATGAATTTTGTCCCGGTAAGGATGTTGTTTATGTGTTGGTGGGTTTCTTCTAGTTTTATACGTTTAATAATCACAAAGGTGTCATCCACATATCGGACCCAAAGTTTAGTGGGGAGCGTTGTCCATTCTAACCTTTGCATTACAGCTTCTGCAATCAGGTCCTGATACTGGGGGCCACATTGGTGTTCCGGTGATTTGTTTGTATATGATGTCATTGAAGGTGAAGTGGATTGTGAGGCACAGATCTAGTGATTTCATGGTGGTGTCGTTAATGATGCTGGTGTCCTGGGTTGCCTGCCTACTTGATTCATCCAGCAGTGTGGCAGTTGTTTCTCTGGCTAGGTCGATGTTTATGGACGTTATTAGTGCTGATATGTTGAAGGATATCATGATCTCATCCTCTTCTATCCTGGTGACCTTGATGATGTTGTGGATGGAGTGGGTAGTGTTGTCCACTAAGGATTTCAATTTCTAGTGTAGTTCTCTGGCAGGTCTATAAGTTTGTCTCACAGTCGGGTACACCATGGATCTGAGGGGGACCCCCTGTGTGTGTATCTTGAGGAGTCTGCAGAAACAGGATGTGTTGGATCCCTCTGGCTTCACTTTTGGTAGTTTTTGCTGATGTCTCCTGAGTTGTGTAATTTCTTCAGGGTCGTTGTATTCCGATTCCCTAACTGTGGATGAAGGGTCTAGGCCCGAAACGTCGGCCTTTCTGCTCCTGTGATGCTGCTTGGCCTGCTGTGTTCATCCAGCTCTGCACCTTGTTGTCTCGGATTCTCCAGCATCTGCAGTTCCTACTGTCTCTGATTCAATTTCAACCCTAACTGTGGTGTTGGGTCTATCGCCATCTGTTGGTAGGTGTCGGTATCCACTAGTAGAGCATTAGCTTTCTCGATGTGTTGGGTTCTGTTGAGGATTACTGTCATGCATCCTTTTGTCCGATGGTAAGATTACAATGTTCCTGTCTTTCTTGAGTCTTTCCAGGGCTTTACTCTCTTCTGAGTTGAATGTGTTCCACTTTCCTTTTTTGTTCAGTGTTGGGACTATCATCTGTCTGATGGTCTGTTGTACTTCTTCCGTGAGTTCGTTGTTCTTTAGTGTCAATTCTAGCGCAGCCAGGAAGTCAGTTTTTTTGGCGTGTCTACGTTATAATTCAGTCCACATACTAGGACGGTCTTTTCCGTATCTGTAAGTGGTTGGTCCGAGATGTTTTTAATCCATGAATCTGTGTTGTCTGTGTCGTCGATGCGGGTGATTTTGGACAGTTTTCTTGAAGGGCTATTCTTTTCTTTGTTCTGGTTCTACCATACATCAAATGCAGTTCCAATAAATACAAGTCCCACTTATATAGAAATAAAAAGAAAATAGACTTTAGTCTCTCAAACTTACAGCCAGGTTACATGTCTTCCAGAATGTCCTATGCCTTCTCCATCGAATGTTCAGTCAAGAATGCCTTCTCCTTCAATTCCTCTGTGTCAGGAATCTTAACTATTTATGCCGTAGGTACCTTTAATTTAAATGGTGCTTTCTCGAAAACTTAAAGAAGACTGTAAGCCAGCAATTCTCTTTAGAGCTAACAGCTGTTAACTCTGGCAGATGGCAGTTCACTTTGTCTTTGTCCAACTGCCCTCTTCTTTTGTATCCTTGATGACATATCAATTTCTTACACTAGGATTAGTCCTATTTTGTTTCAAAACCATCAGATTTAAGTTTAATTTTTTGTTTTGGCGCCCAAGTGCCTAGTTCAAATTTATTGGCTAAATTCAAAACGTGCAGTCTTGATAACAAAACAAAACTGCTGCTTGGCCTGCTAACTGTACCACCTTTTGATACAAATGTTTCAGTTTGGGTACTCTCTTGTGCCCTTGCAAACTTTTAAACTGCTCACAGATGTTCTTTATAAATTTCCTAAGCATGGAAAGAGCACACAATTTTTAAAGGGACCACGCACTGCTTTTCCCCCCCTAGCATTTTACAAACACCAAATTCTAATTTCCTGCTTCTCAACCCACAAGTACTCTACCCAATTTCACAACACATTGCAGATGCTTTCCTTGAATTGAGCTGCATTTCCTTTAAAATAATAAAACTAAATTTTATAAAACTCAGCCTGGATGTCCTCCAAGAATATCTATGGAAGTTAACTACTTCACAGCCAATCAAGTACGATGTTGAAGTTTTGTCACTGTATTAATGTAGAAAACCTGATGAAATTTGTACAGTTAAGACCCTGACGACAATAACATGAGACTGACCAAATAATCTGTTCTTAGTTGTTGACTGGGGGATAAATATTGTCCAGGACTTTGGGGGAAAATTCCCCTTCTCTGCACATAATGAAATGGAATAATTTATGTTCAGAGAAAGTAGGAACTGCCGATGCTGGAGAATCTGAGATAACAAGGTGTAGAGCTGGATAAACACAGCAGGCCAAGCAGCATCAGAGGAGCAGGAAAGCTGATGTTTCGGGTCTAGACCCTTCTTCAGAAATGGGGGAGGGGAAGGGGATTCTGAAATAAATAGGAAGAGAGGGGGAGGCGGGGAGAAGATAGGTGGAGAGGAGACTTGAGGTGGGAGGAGTGGATAGGTGGGAGGACAGGTTAGGGAGGCGGGTATGAGCTGGGCTGGTTTTGGGATGCAGTCGGGGGAGGGGAGATTTTGTACCTTGTGAAGTCTACATTGATACCATTGGGCTGCAGGGTTCCCAAGCGAAATATGAGATGCTGTTCCTGCAAACTTCAGGTGGCATTGTTGTGGCACTGCAGGATGCCCAGGATGGACATGTCGTCCAAGGAGTGGGAGGGGGAATTGAAATGGTTCGCAACTGGGAGGTGCAGTTGTTTGTTGTGAACCGAGCGTAGGTGTTCCACAAAGCGGTCCCCAAGCCTCCGCTTGGTTTCCCTGATGTAGATTTATAATTTATGTTCACTTTTGTTTGACATCTACCCAAGGAGACTGCAGCCCTAAAATTGCAGCAATTGCTTTAATACTGCACTGCAGTCCCAACAAAGACACTGTTAAAGTGTCTGGGATGCAACCTGAGCCTACTGACTCAGAAGCAAGAATGCTACATGAATGACCAAAGTTGACTTCAGCTCAAGTTTACTTCAGGAACATTTGTTTAAGCTAATAATGAGCAACGGCATCTTGCTGACCTGTGTCTTGCATCATAGAGTCCCTACACTGTGGAATCAAGCCATTCGGCCCATCAAGTCATTCGGCCCATCAAGTCCACAATGACCCTGTGAAGAACATCCCACCCAGACCCACCCCCCCCAACTCTATCCCTGTAACTCCCCATCTCCCATGGCCAATCCACCTAATCTGCACATCTTTGGCCTGTGTGAGGAAACCGGAGCACCCAAAGGAAACCCACGCAGACTCAGGGAGAGTGTGCAAGCTGCACTCGGAGCCACCCAAGGGTGGAATTGTACCCAGGTTCCTGATGCTGTGAGGCAGCGGTGCTAACCATTGAGCCACTGTGCCACCATGCCACATGTGTATTGATGTCTGTTTTTTAATTCAGTTCTGGGAAGTCATCAGTGATGAACATGGCATTGACCCTACGGGAACCTACCGTGGAGAGAGTGATTTGCAACTGGAGAGAATCAATGTCTACTACAATGAAGCCACAGGTGCTGACTTGCATCATAAAACTACTTGTATTTATTTATAGCTCATGTTCTGCATAAAAGTATATATCTCATGTTTTAAAACTCCTTCTGACTAGGTGGTAAGTTTGTGCCTCGTGCTGTCCTTGTAGACCTGGAACCTAGTACCATGGATTCTGTTCGTTCTGGACCCTTTGGACACCTTTTCAGACCAGATAATTTTATGTTTGGTAAGTGAAGTCTTACATAAACATTAGTAGTACTTTGTAACTCTTGCGTGGTAGAGCCATGGGATTCAACCTAGATAAATTCCTCATGAGTTGTAAGCAAATATTTCTTTGCCATAGTTGGTTGTTGATTGATGATTTGCTTTTACTTTTTCTAATGGTTAAGTGTACTTCAACATCTGTGGGATTTGTTAGAAGAGATCTAAATTAATGATGTATAGTAATCTAGAGATGCCCAGTGTAGATGATGAGATGAAGAATGATCTAAGGATGAACTCCACAAAAATATTAAATTACCCCACCTCTACCACCTTCTGAGGCAAATTTCCAAAGTCACACAACGGTATCAGAGAAAACAATTCTCCTAATATCTGTCCTAAAGGAGCGGCCCCTATTTTTAAAGAGATCCCCTGTTTTCGACTCAACTCGAGATGGAAAAATGCTTCACACTTCCACCTTGTCAAAACTGTTCAGGATCTTACATGTTTCAATCAACTCATCCCTCATTTCTCTGAACTCCTGTGGAAACAAACCCAGTCTGTCAAACCTGATAGACAGTCCAATCATTCTAGATGTCAACCTGATAAACCTCTTGTAAACTGATTCCAATGCATTTATATCCTTCCTTAAATAAGGAGACCAAAACTGCGCACAGTATGTGAGGTATGTTGTCACCAGTGTCCTGTATGACTCAAGCATAACATCCTTAATTTTTATGTTTCATTAGCCTTCTTAATGACTTGCTGAAGCTGCATGCTAACTTATTGCATCTTGGACACCAGAACATCCAGACCCGTCTGCATCTTGGAATTCTGCCATTCTTCTCTATTTAAGTAATGCTGCTTTTTGATTCTAAATGCCAAAGTAAATAACTTCAGATTTACCTCCATTATTTCTCACTCCTCAACCTATCAATATCAATCTGAATCATTTTTATGTACTCTTCACAAAATACTTTTCTACCTGTCTTTATGTCTGCAAATAAAGCTACAAAGACTTCACTTCCCTCAGAGACAAGCTTAGTCTGTCCAACCTTTTCTCATAAGACCCATTCTAGTAAGTTTCCTGTGAACAACCAGCAACAAATTTACATCCGTCCTTAAATAGGACACAATAGAAATTTGTTATAGCATGTACTTTTACCTGAAAAAATTTAAGTCACTCCACCATGGCATCTACATCAATACCAAAAGTCATATATAATAATAAAAAGAAAGTAAAATTAAGACAAAGTTCATCACAGTTCAGTTAATGGCTCCTGGGCTTGGGGAAAGCCGATTAAGGAACAATGGAATACCCTGAAAACGCAGCCAGGACCAGACTGCCACACCACACCACTAGAATACTGAGCTGGAAACCTCAGCCAAAGAAGATGGCCATGCCGGTCCAAGACCGCTACTCTTGGATGATACTGCCTGTCAGGCTGCTGGAATACCTGGACGCCAAAGACAAAAGACCCCCACACTGGGACAAGACCGCCGTACTGGGACAAGACTGTCACACCAGGAGACTGCCACGCCAGGCTGAGACTGCTTTTCTCCTCCTTCAGGCACCCGGGCCTAACTGCGGACATAGAGCCTTGGCCTAGCCTGTGGGTCTGGGCTGGGCAGTCAGCTGTTCCTCGCTTGCTGGAACACTCCGGGCTTGGGTGGAGCCGTGTCCAGCTTATCTTGATGTTGCTGCCGCCAGAGACCGCCTCCTTCATCCGCCATTCTCCAGGCTCAAAAGAAAAGAAAACTAAGAGAAAAGAAAGAAAAAGAGCAAAACTAAAAAGAAACAAAATGAGAAAGAAATCCGATGGGAGCAGATTAGCCCTGGACCACTCCGCTGCCATCTTGAAAGACAGTAAAATATAAATAAAGTGATTAATACTGTGCACAGTACTCCAGATGCGATCTCGCCAGTACCCTGTATAATTGAAACACAACATCTGTACTTTTGTAATCAATTCCCCTGTGATAAATGATAACATTGTATTCACTTTTCTAATTACTTGCTGTACCGTGATGTTTTGCAAATTCATGCATTAGGATGGGTTAGGGTTAGGATTAGATCCCTCTGCTTCTCAGAGCTGTACAATCTCTCATTATTTAGATAATTCTTCTTATTCATCCTGCCAATATGAACAAGTTCACATTTTCTCACATTATGCTACATTTTTGCCCACTCATTTAACCTTGTGTCTTTTTGTAACCTCTGTGTCCTCTTCACAATGTACTTTCCTATCCTTTGTGTCATCAGCAAATTGGCAAACTGACCTTCCATCACTTCATCTGAGTAATTTTCATAAACTGTAAACAGTTGAAAGTCGCAGCACCAATCCCAGAGGCACATCAGTTCTTACATCTTGCCAACCTGAAACGGACCCTTAACCCCTAATCTGTTTCATGTTAGCCTACCTGTCTTCTAACCATACCAATATGAGACCTCCTACACCACAAGCTTTTTATTTTCTGCAGCAACTTATGATGTGGTGCCTTAACAAATTGCTTTCTGGAAATCTAAGCACAGTTCATCCACCAGTTCCCCTTCATCCACAGCAAGTGTTAGCTCCTCAAAGACTTCCAATAGATTGGTCAAACATGATTTTTGTTTCACAAAACCATGTTTAATGTGCCTGATTTTCTTTAACTTAGCCAGTTTCCATACTGTAACTTCTTTTATAGCTCTTAACACTTTCCCTTTGACAGATTTTAAGCTAACTGGCCTATAATTTCCTGCTTTTTATCTCCCTTTTGGAATAAAGGACTTACACTTGCTATTTACTAATCTAATGGGACCATCTGTGAATCAAGGAAGTTGAAACCAATGCGTAAACTATCTTGCTAGTCGCTTCCTCTAAGTCCGTCAGGGCCCAGGCACCTGTATGCCTGCAGTTCCAACAGTTTACTCAGTACTTCTCTGGTATTTGTGATTTTCCCGAGTTCCTCCCTTTTTCTTTCATTTTCTAATTAATCACAGCTTGTGGGATGTGACTTGTATTACCGTGGAGAAAGACATGGAAGCTAGGAACTCAGGGAAATAAATAGTGATGTCTTGAAAAGAGTCCATATTACAGAAGAGAAGTTAGATAAATCCCCTGGGACCTGGTCAAATGTATCCCAGGACATTGTGGGAAGCTACAGAAGAAATTGTAGGGCCCCTAGTGGAGATATTTCTATCATCGATAGCCACGGGTGAGGTGCTGGAAGACTGGAGGGTGGCTAATGTTGTGCCATTATTTAAGAAAGGCTGCAAGGAAAAGCCAGGGAGCTACAGACCAGTGAGCATAACATCCGTGGTGGGTAAATTGTTTGAGGGGATTCTGAGGGACAGAATCTACTTGCATTTGGAAAGGCAAGCATAGCCAGCATGGCTTTATGTGTAGGAAATTGTGTCTCACAAACTTGATTGCGATTTTTGAACAAGTGACCAGGAAGCTAGTTGAAGGTAAAGCAGTAGACACGGTCTTCATGGATGAAATACAGAGATTGCCAGAAAAACTCGGCAGGTCTGGCAGCATCTGTGAATAGAAATCAGAGTTAACGTTTCGGGTCCAGTGACTGTTCTTCAATTCTTTCGGTTGTCTAGATGAACTTTAGCAAGGCCTTCAAGGTTCCACGTGGTAGACTGGTTAGTTAGCTTAGATCACATGGGATCCAGGAAGAGCTGCCAATTGGATACAAAATTAACCTGAAGGTAGGAGACAGAGGGTGGTCCTAGTGGCTTGTTATTCAATGGAGGCCTGTGACCAGTGGTATGCCACAAGGATCAGTGCTAGTTCTACTGTTGTTCAACATTTACATAAATAATTTGGAGGAGAATATCGGAGGCATGGTTAGTAAGTTTGCAGATAACACCAAAATTGGTAGTATAGTGGACAGTGAAGAAAATTATCTAAGAATACAGTGGAATCTTGATCAACTGGGCCAATGGCTGAAGAATGGCAGATACTTAATTCCAGATAAATGTGTGGTGTTGCATTTTGATAAGGCAAAACAGGGCAGGACCTATACAATAGTAGGGCCCTGGGAAGTGTTGTCGAACAGAGAGACCTAGGGGTGCAGCTACATAGTTTCTTGAAAGTGGAGTCCCAGGAAGACAGGGTGGTGAAGAAAGTGTTTTCGCACGTTTGGTTTCATCGGTCTGAGCATTTGAGTACAGGAGTTGGGATGTCATCCTCCAGCTGTATAAGACATGGGTAAGGCCACATTTGGAGTACTGCATTCAATTTTAGTCACCCTGCTATAGGAAGGATGTTATTAAACTGGAAAGGGTGCAAAAAAGGATGTTACTGCTGAGTGGAAGATTTGAGTTATAAGGAGAGGCTAGATAGGCTGGGAGTTTTCTCCCTGGAGTGTAGGAGGCTGAGTTGAGGAGCATAGCTAAGGTGAATTTCCCAAGTCTTTTATCCAGGGCAGGGGAGTCTAAAACTAGAGGTCACAGGTTTAAGTGAGAGGGGAAAGATATAAAAGGGAGCTGAGGGGCAACTTCTTCACATGGGGCTGGTGTGTACACGGAATGAATTGCCAGAGGAAGTGGTAGAGGCGGTTACAATTACAACATTTAAAAGACATTTAGGCAGTTACATGCATAGGAAAGGTTTAGAGGGATATGGACCAAACACAGGCAAATAAGACTAGTTCAGCTTAGGAACCCTGATCGGCATGAACCAAAGGAGTTGTTTCTGTGCTGTGTGACTCTGATTCGAGAGTGAAGACTGATGTCAAATAACTGGTCAATACATCTGTAATTTCCTTATTTTCTATCGTTAATTCTCCAGTCTGATATTCTATAGGACCAATGTTCACTTTGTTAACATTGCTACCTTAAATATTTACAGAACTGTTCATTTTATTTATAATTTTGGCTAGCTTTCTCTCGTACTAAACTTCCCCCCCCTTTTGTTTTTGGTCCTTCTTTAGTGCTTTTTATGTTCTATACAATCACTTGTTTTGCAACCTGTCTTTGCACATTTATAGCATTTTCTTATTACTGAACTAACTCCACCAGGTCGCTTTTCA